GTATCGGACGTCCGATATAGACTGTAATCAATAAAAGACCTTTGAAAAATGCAGAAAACTACAGAAAACGCTTAAGAACATATATTAAGCATGTTTATATTATTGTTCAATCTATATAAGATTTAGATTGAATCTAAATCGGACCTCCGATATAGACTGTAATCTAAATCGGACGTCCGCGATAAGTTCAATCTAAATCGGACGTCCGGTTTAGATTGAATCTAAATCGGACGGAAATCTAAATCGGACACAACATATATATATATTTATTGAATTTAAAGAAATTGCAAGAATTAAATAAATCTAATCATAAATTAATTATAAAAAAAAGGGAAAAAGTTTATAATATAAAATTTTTTAAATGATCCATCAATAAAAGTCTTTAGTTAAAGTATATTTTTTGTGATATGGACATATCATAATCCGAAATTGAAAATTATATGGAAAACGATGAAAGATAAGTGTTTCTTCAAAATTTTCCGATTTTGTATTCTTAACTAGCAAAAAATGAGCTTGAAGAAAAGCCCTAATAAGTTCATTATATTAGGTTGATGCAAAAGTCTTTTTCATTTTTTTCGTACTTCCGTTAAAAAGTAACAAATGCACGAATTGAACAACGGTTTATTGCATTCGAAAGGCCAATTATTTTTCTGCAAAATGACATTAAAACGAGTTTAAAATGTCTTATGTCTAGATTTTTTTGAGAGCCTGAAGTCGGGTAGTCAAAAAAGGCGACGGCTCGATGATGCATTTTAGACGCTTTAGCTAAGGAAATCAATCTTGATGTTAATAAATAAAAGATAGAGCACAAAAAAGTTAGATATTTTTTCAGATTTTCAGAGAAATTGATTCAGCCAATTTCTTTATAGAGGTTTTTATAGATTTTTATGAAAAACCCGTTTTCACTCTCGAATTTGCTTGAAAGTGAACCCAAATTGACTTAAAAAGATGGGAAATTCAACAATAAACATTTTTCATTTAGAGCAAACCATAGGTTAATTGATGACTTTGTTATTTTTCAAAAGAAGTACGAAAAAAATGAAAAAGACTTTTGCATCAACCTAATATATCATAGTCCAATTTCCAATTTTCATTTGATAGTTAGAAAAACTAATCCATAATTCTTTATTGAAACAATTACTATTCAGGAAGAATTTCACGGAATTCACGAAATTTTCCAATTTATAATGCATTAATTGAAGAGATACATTTTCATTCAGTTTTGACGAAAGTTTCTCTCTAATCATATTAAAAGGAAAATTAATTAAATAAATTGAACATAATGTCCAGCGATTTTCCATAAATTTCATGATTTCATGGTTAATCTGAACAGAAATTTCGTTTAATAATAATAATAATAATACTTTATTCAAACGATAAAGTGAAAGAAATCATGGAGAAATGCACAGTGATACTTAATCATACAATACATACTGAAATCAAAGGTTTGATACACTAAAGGTAATGCATCTATTTCCTTGAAGCACATCAAATATTAAAAGAAGTGCTCGCAAGTCGTGCAAATTTTTATATTGCTGTAGAAAAAATTGAAATTAACTTTTCGTAAAGGCACTCCTGGTTTAAAGGAATAAAAACCTAGATAAAATTAGGGTCAAAGTCGGATAAGTGCCTACCCTCTCCTTTTCGGCCATATCTTCACTTCCAGTTAACCGATCAACTTGTGGTTGTGCTTAAAATGTTCGTTATAAAATTTCCTACTAGAAATTCACAATCTCCTTAGTAACTTTAGGATAAAAACATAAAGAAAATCTCGGTCAAAGTTGGACTAGATTTCTGTAAACGGGAATCTAGGGTTACCGTCCGGATATGGTAAAAAGCCTAAGCAAACTCTAGATTTTAAGTGCAAATTCGGATTCTACATGAAATTTGGACCTAGAAAAGGTACTTTATAAGATATTGAGTAAAGGTTTTCTTGAATTCTACGGTAAATGCAAATATAGTGCAGAGATCAGTTATAGGAGACCGACTTACTACAAGACTTTTCGACTTAGAGACAAGTGAAGACAGAGAAGTATGATAAAAAACACTTTTCTAAGCTCGATTTTTGATGAAGAATCCGAATTTGCACTTAAAATTAGGGCTTTCCTAGAAAAAAGTACCACTTTTCAGCAAATCTCATAAATTCTATAGGGATGATTCAATGAAATAGTCTATAACTCAAGATCTAAGAGTCGAATCAAATAGCGGTTGCTTTTATTAGAATCTACACAAAATTTGACTTTAGAAATGTTTCATTTGTTTTATAGACTTAACAATAAAAACATAGATAACATTAGGGTCAAAGTTGGAGAGCAAAGTTTGCAGTACTGCACTTTTTTAGAGGATGGTAGCATCCTCAATAATTCTACTTTTCTCTATGTTTTCATCGGTAAGTCTACAAAATAAATGATACATTTCTAAACTTAAATTTTGTGTAGAATTTAATATAAGTAACCCGGAGCTGATTCGACTTTTATATCTTGAGTTTTAGACCTTTTAAGTTGATAGATCCTTTCGCATAGATAGTCGAACTTTGACTGAGATTTTCACCATGTTTTTATATTAAAGTTTACTAAGTAATTTGTGGATGTCTATAACCAAATTTCATAAGGAACATTTTAAGAGCAACTACAAGTTGATCGGTGAACTATAAGTTGAGATACAGAGAAAAAAAAAAAAGAAAAAAAAAAAAAAAAAGAAAAAAAAGTGAATGCTGCGGTTACAATCACAGTCTCTTCAGTGGTGAACCCCAACAACATCCTCCAGCTTCAGTGGTGAACCCCAACAACATCAACATTTGAGGATGAAGAGCTTGAAGTTCAGGCAAAATCAAATCAGCGTAGCATTTGGAATCAACCATAGTACGGTATCAAGAATTTTAAAGAGGAAGAGGCAAACGGGGTCTACAGATGCTTATAAACATACTGGCCGGATCAAGAAAACCAATGGTAGAGATGGTAGGCGAATCGTTACGCGGCCAAAACAGGATTCACGAAAGACTGCAATCAATATCCACAAAGAATTGCCTCAGCGAGTAAAAGAAATCTATAGGTTCCAGAACCGTGCAAAGACGTTTGCAAGCCGCTAACTTGTTTGGTAGACGCCCGGCTCACAAGCCCTTGATTTCACCAAAAAATCGAAAGCTTCGACTCCAATTTGCTAAGGAGCACGTTGGATGGACTCTACAGGATTGGTCTAAATGCCTTTTCTCGGATGAAAGTAAATTTAATCTATTTGGATCTGATGGAATTGCGTATGTTAGATGCCCAAAAAAACAAAAAAATTGTTTCTCGCTGCTTGATTTCAACGACCAAACACGGAGGTGGTTCTGTCATTGTATGGGGCGGCTTCTGTTCAACAGGAATGATACCATTGAAACGCATAGAAGGTATTATGAATCAACAAGTCTACTTGGACATTCTCGAATCGCATATGCTATCACTCGTACAGCAAAAGTTTAGACAAAATTTCATATATCAACAGGATAATGATCCCAAACCTAAAGCGCGTCTCGTACGAGAATGGTTTCAACGAAAGAAAAGCAGTGTTATGGAGTGGCCAAGCCAAAGTCCAGACTTGAATCCTATTGAACATTTGTGGGAAGAACTGGAGCGAGCCTGTAGGAGCATAAAAGTGCAGAATCTAAATGAAAAATTTTCTCTTTTGGCAAAAAAGTGGATGGAGATTCCACAAAGTACCATTGATGCTTTACTCTCTTCAATGAATCGCCGTTGCCAAGCCGTCATTGACGCAAAAGGTGGACCGACAAAATATTAATGCTATTATGATAATTTATGATGGCTCTTTTTTATTTCATTGGTTTTAATTGTTTTTATAAATAGTTGTTTAAATATGCTATAATTATGTCGTTCAGCCTTCACCAAAATTCTTGAAAAATCTTATAGACAAAATGTGAGGATTTCTTAGGTGGTAAAATACGAATTTTAGAAGATTTCTACGTTCAGCGCAAATTATGGCCCGATAGCTTAAATTACAAAAAAGTTTTGGTAAAAACAAAAAATGTGCTAAAATTATGTCCGCCACTGTATATGACGCCTCTGGCACACCCATATACCCTTTTATAATATTTTTTAGGGTTTTTTTTTTGCGTATTTTAGGGTTAAAAATAGCTAAAGGGGGTAAAAATTGAGTGAGGGATTTTTGAGTATATGGGTGTGCCAGAGGCGTCATATACATATGTATACTGGGAGTGGGACAAATGCTACCTTTTTTTTTTGCGCACCCGGACATTCGCGCACCCTTTTTTTCCGCACCTTGCCCATTAGCGCACCTTTTTTCGCGTTTTAAAAAAGCTCTAAAAAGCTAATTTTAACCAATTTCTATTCCAAATGTTGTTTTTCTAGGTAATTTTAGGGCGTAGAATCGAAATTTTGGCATATCAGAGCTTGTGGAAACAAACGGACGGAGTTATACAAAGAGAAAAATCAACAATTTTCTGTAATTTGACCTAGCCGTTTTGTCTTTCAAATTGGTTCCACACGCTCTGTTATGTCAAAATTTGGATTCGACACCCTCAAATTACCTAGAAAAACAACTTTTGGAATAGAAATTGGTTACTATTAGCTTTTAGAGCCTTTTTAAAACGCGAAAAAAGGTGCGCTAATGGGCAAGGTGCGGAAAAAAAGGTGCGCAAATGTCCCGGGTGCGCAAAATTCGCATTTGTCCCACTTCCATGTATACTACTCTTATCGAGAGCTCGCGCCAATAAAACATGGCACAAAAAATTTGGCGCTTTTGCTAGCACCCCGAAAGGTTAAAACTGGTGACATTTCAATGGTTTAAAGCTGCTTTTGCTCGAATTTGCTCAAATTATCAAAATTTCATTCAAAAACAAGAAAATCAAGGTGATTTCAAGGAACAGAACGTTCAAATCAACATTTCGTCAAACTTTTATTAGCACAATGAAATAAAGTTAACAAAATGGCAACAAAACAATCCTAAAATCTGCTAGAAAAACTATCAAATAAGACAAGTGGTCAAGAAATGATCTCGAAATCCCTCAAACTTATCCCTTTCGACGGAATATCGACGGTGAATGGACACTTCGGGGGCAACGCTTTCTCACCGTTTGCCAGCATTTCCACGGTCACTTTCGGTTTCGTGTAATCGTAGGCGAACAGGCCGGGCATGCTGAAGATGAGTTTTCAAAGCCGAATAAGAAAATGTTATACAAATTATGGTATTCCAATGCGCAAGCCTAATTTTCATAAACTCTACGTAAGCTAGATTTCATGGTTTAAAAGTTAGCCAATGATAAGCACCCTTAAGCTTTTGCGTCTTTCAACATTTTAAGCTGAACTAGGTCAAGTAGCGGGACTGGATCAATAGAATTGCTCAATCTGCCTATTTGATGCTTTCTTGAACCAGCAAGACAATGATTCTAGAAACAAAAAAGTTTCTATACCTTCTGCACTGTCGCTCGTAGACTTTAGCCATATCGCCGTACTGTTCCACGCCCAATTTGATCGAAGTTGTCGTTGGATCGATTCTGTAACAAAAACAAATATGAAAGCTGATAGAAGTCATGAATTCAGCACTCAACCATTTATAAACATGACCTCGTTTCTTTCAGTACTTCGTGAGCCATTTCATCCGCAATCTCCTCCGGATACAATGTTTTTAAGCCCTAAAACTTTTAAATTTAAAATTTCAAAAAACCTTTATACCTTAATCGCGTACTTTTGTCGATAGTGGAAGACTTGTCGAGCGACTTTCTCGATTACCTAAATGAGAAAAGATGTCAATCAAGTTCACCCAAAAATTTTATTACCTCAAAAGACACGCCAATCAACGGAGTGACTCGCGGCTCGAATCGCACAACGCCCACGTCGATTTTCGGTGGTGGTACAAAGCAAGTACCTGCAAGGAAACTATAGAATCGTTTACATAAAGCTTGACGAGACCTTGACAACCCTAAACTATTTTACACTTGGCTACAAGTTTACTATGAGCTATTCAGTTTATCAGTACAAATCCAGACCAATCCAGCTCAGTACTGCGTGCTTTGACGCCCTTCTGGTCTGCTTAGCTGTTTAGCTGACAAGCTTTTTATCATATTTTCAACAATCACCTTCCTATATCTATCGTGGGAAGTTAAAATATCTAAACTCCACCTGGTATCGTGAACAAGAGCTTCGGTCGTGCAATGTACTGCGCCATAATCGATATCCTCGATCGAGTGTCACAGTCGATTGGTGAGACCAACCTTCGGGCTACCTAATAGAAGAAATGTTTAAAGACCCATTTCAAAGTCCCAAAAATTAATGATTTACTACTTGACCGACATTTTGCGAATTGAGAAAACAAACCTCAGCCTGAAAAGTCAATGTCAAAGGCACTCGCCCATATTTCCACGGTCCTCGTCGATAGGACATGTCACGGAGGAATCTAGGAAGAAAATCCAAGGATAAACCGCAAAAAACACACTTTATAATCAACGGACTGGCGATGTTGAAGGGTAAATTGCCGACAATGTGCAATCGGGGCGGATCGTCGGTCCATTGTGAGCCATGAGAGCACCTAAAAAGGGGAAATTTGTCAATGCCAAGTTAGTAAATTGTTGGCCGCAAAATTTGACAAGTATTGTAAAAACAGCTCGTTTAAGCTTGAGATTTAAGACGCTTCTAAGGCCTTTATTAAGCGAAAGGTGCTTGAAGCCCCGTAAAGTTTTGGTTTTAGGTTTAAGGAGAACTCGGGAATCCCTCTATTACTAACTTTATTTTAGTAATTTAATGATGTCATATAAAATATCGAGAGCCTATCGAATGCCAAATACCCACCCAGCTTCCGTCCAAATGTCCCCAATCTCCGTTTTGAGCACATCTCCGTGATGTACATGCAATCGTCCACCGGCCGCCTCTCCGACATGTCTCAACGCGGGCAACATCCGTTGATCCAATTCGATCACATCACACCGCGAAACGCCTCGATCGAGAATCGCTCGTGTGATCCCACCCGGTCCGGGGCCAACCTAAAATCAATTCGTTGATCTAATAACAAAGCCTCAAGATATTTTCGTCTGTTTGCTTGAAATAGATCAATTATGACCTAATTTGCGTTAAATAGCCACACACCTCGCACACCCAATCGCCCTCATTGATGCCAGCAGTGCGAACAATCTAAAAAATTTCAAATTAAAACATCGATAACAATTTTTAGTAGTTTATTTTCTGCCTTTTTTTCCGTTTTTCAATGTACACTCAAAACCGCAATTGATCATGCAATTGATATGCACCCAGTTCCTCTTCAGCTCAATTTTATGCAAAACTTCACTTTCATCTTTGGAATTTGGATAGAACTTGAGACTAGCATGCTTAAGTACCGCTTTTCACTAGTTTCAATCAAAACCCTCACCTTATTCGTCAAATTCATGTCCATGAGGAAATTCTGCGAGAGGACTTTTTTGGCCCTCAACTTGTACAAATGGATGAAATCGCGAAGGGCGGGCAAGGGTGGAAGACGGGAGAACGAGGTGGCCATTTGATGCCTGGAAATAGAGAAGATTGTTTTACATGGAGAACTTTTAAAAAAGGATACAAACAATGAGAAAAAGTAACATCACTTCGGTCGAAAATCATTCTTTTTTTTAGAGCCTTTTAGAGCTTTAAACGAGAGCGGGGGCTTTGATATTTTGCAAGAAATTTCTTTGAGATCTACTGGACTAAAGTTTTAAAGCCAAAAAAAATGAAAAAATTGACCGAATATTCGTTAATCATTTTCCGTAAATCGCAAATGTCTCCTGGTAGATTTCTCGAAGAAAACCTCAAATTTAAGCAAACGATTCAAAGCTAATGCATCCAATCATGCGAAAAAGTAAACTTTTAAAACTCCCCTTTCACACAAAACCCGTTTTCTGAACTCTTTAAAGTAAAGAATAGCCAAATCAAGCAAAAATTGGTGTAAATTTCGTTACAACAACCAAAAATCTTTATTACACATCATGGAATGCCTGGAAAAACGCTCAAAAATCAAAAGAAACAGATTGCACATTTCTTGAGTAAAAACGACTATAAGAAATATACCGATAAAATGACCAAACTAATCTCAAAGATTCAATTGAAAGAGGAAAATATCTGTGACCTGGAAATACACAAAATGCTTTCAAAAAAACAACCAGATAAACGAGATTTGGGAAGAAATAACAATTCTTTAGCTAGTTCTACTAAATTTATTTCTACTTTTTCCTTGTCGCCTCCAAATCCTCTTTGATGGCGTTGATGAATTGAGTGTACGCCGATTCCAATTCTTCATTCACGATGATGTAGTCAAAGAGATGCGGATCGTTGGTCACTAAATTACAGAAAGTGAGACTTAAATTTGACAACCTAATCGTTTTCTTCTAGCCTAATTCTAACCTGACGCCTGATCGCTTTCTACAAGCAAAACCAGAAGTCTGGCTGAATCTGACTCACAGGCCCTAACAAGACCCGGTTGGAGCATCTTGAAGTCTACTCATTCGATTTTCGATAAGAGAGTGATAAGAAAGTCTCTTGTACAACGCTTTGACTTGTCTTATGCAGGGCTGTTCCCAGACCAAAACTTCCAAGAGAAGCCAAAAGCTATACCACAGCTCTTTTCATGACCTAATGTGGCCTTGTCTTCGCTTGGCTAGTCACGACTTTTGAGAACATATTGGCCTTATCTTCAGGCCACTCACCGGCTCGCATATCCTCCTCAGCATGCCTTAAACGTTTTTGTAGCGTTTCCTCAGTCTCGGTGCCTCGATTTCGTAAACGTTCTTCCTAGATAGATTTGATTAAAGGTGGGAGAGGGGATTCATTAATCGGGGCCGGATTTTGAAGAAAACGTTTTCTTGGTAACACTACGTTTTTATATTTTTATATTGACAATTATTACGTAAAATGGGCGAAAAAACCAGGCTGGGGTGATTTGCCCGTAGGTTGGTATTTTAAAGCCACTCAATGTCTGCGCTTGACAGTCAAGGTAAGCCTCAAAACAAAATATAATTTTCAAAGCTCTCAAGGAAATATTCGTGTTATTTCAGCATCATTGTCTTTTGGTGTCGGAGATCCCTTTGCATCCGAAATGGAAGATGATGATATCGATAAACTTGGAGATCGACTTGAAGAACTTTTAAATTTGAGCAAAAATGAAGATGATGAAGAGGAAAATTGGGTTTCATTGACTGGTTATGTTATACATATGTGTTAGCCGATTCTGTTCCCTTTATTGCTTCCAAAGTGTTAACTTTCTTTAAATAAATTTTTAGCCTCCTGATGTTCACTGTGTTCACCGACCTAAGCCCACTTATGATAAATCGGGTAATCGAATGGCTCTAAAATATCAAGTTACGGGCAATTCACCACAGCCTGGTTTTTTCGCGCATTTTACATAATAATTGTCAATATAAAAATATAAAAACATAGTGTTACCAAGAAAACGTTTTCTTCAAAATCCGGCCCCGATTAATGAATCCCCCCTCCCCCTTAATCAACTTTCAGACATTGTTCAAAATCCTATAAAACTCACCAAAATGTTTATGCTCGGCGCTTTAATGAGGATGTATTTTGCCTGGAGATGCGAATTTTTAATATTCCGGACGCCCTAAATCAAAAATTTAGTTAAAAGCTAAAGTTTTTGAACTTAAACACTCTAAATAACTCAAGAAGCCATAATGGTAGACACCTGCAATTCAATGTCCAACACACAAATTTTCCCTGTTTTCTCGGTGTCCTCGACTTGTTTCCGGCTAAAAACAAAAAGGTTAGATCGTAAAATTCTATTTAATATTTGAAATTTATAAGATTAATAAAAAATCTTACCTTGTTCCATACAAATTCCCGCCAAACTCCGCGTGTTCCAAAAACTCGCCGTTGCTGATCATTTCTTCCATGGTTTTCCTGAAAAATCGCATCATTTTAAGGGTTTTGTTGCAAATAAAATGTTAAGACTAGTTTTTATTTGATGATTTTGAAAAAATCGAACCTTTCCGTAAACCAATAGTGCACACCGTGTTGCTCGCCTTCTCGTGGTCGACGAGTTGTATCTGCAAAGAGCATTTATGTTTAATACCCACATTCTTTATTTCATTCGCTAAGTCTAATCTACAGCAATTCAAATGTTATGTATTGTAGCCAGCCGGTGACACCCCGCTATGTGGGGAACACCGGTTGAAGAGTTGGGGAAAGTCTGCGGTGCGTCCACCACTTTCTAACTTCAGATTCGGCATCAGTGGCATCGCATCAGCGCAATCGCGGATATTTAGTTTTAAGCCAAACCCAGACGGACATTTCACAATTATAAATAGATTCATCTTTTTTTTAAACCCACGAAATTTAGGAATGAAAATTAAGCAAATGCTTGTCACCAGGTTTTTAGGTTTCAGCTTAAATCTCTAAAGCTTCTAGTTTAAAATAGAAATCACAGGAGTTCGCGTGTGCACAACTCCTGTTTGGGACACTTTATCATGTCGCAATAAATCTATCTATTAAATAATCATAAAACTCACGAGAAACGGAGAAAGCAAAGCTATCCGGGTACTCCCTCATCGCTCGATTCAGAATCGTCGACTTTCCGCCACCTAAAGCTTATCGTTTAGTAAAAACAAAATACTTATCCATAATGATGTACAATCAATCACAAACACATGCACGTTTAACAAAAAAAGAAACGTTAGTGCAAACCGAAAGAACACAGAAAAGAGAGAAATTGCAGGAAATACATACCCGATGGACCGGACAAGACCAACGGCTGAAGAGGCATCGTCCGAGTGGCTGAAAATTGAAAAATTATGCTTTTATACGAAAATTTTACAAGTGATAGTTGAGCTTACAATTTTGAGAAAGTAAATGGGTCATCTAAACTTTACAGTTAAAGTTTTCCACAAATTTGGCCAGCTTATTCAGCTTGGAACATTCCAAAAGTATATTCAACGATTGTGTTTCTTTTGTTTCCGGAAAAAAACAATTAAGTTACGCAATTCTTCACAATTCAGACTCGATTGCGGCAATAAAAGGGCTCGTTTTTCCAAAAAAAAAAATCCCAACTGAGATTAGAAAAACGATTGAACAAAAAGAAAAGAAACACAAAAACGGCGATGAAAAAACTGATAAAAAGTGAGGAATTTCTTTTTCCATTTAGACAATCGATCTTTTAGCATAAAAAGTTGATTTAATGTTTGAAGACGGTTGAACTAAAGCAAAAGTTCTAAAACAATCTAAATCCTATTTACCTAGATCGTGATAATCAAAACTTTAACTTAAATCAAATCAAGAAATCAATCCGATACCTTGAATTAAAATTAGATTATAAGTTTGTACAGCCCATATCTAGAGGCTAAAAATTTCCAATCATCCATTGCAAATAACTAACATTCCAAAGTTTCTAAAAATTTTTCTCAAAATTCCAATGGAAACCTTCTAAGTTAGCAGTTAAATCGACAAAATTTCTCATTGATAAACCAAAATACTTAAAAAGCTGATAAGTGGGAAGCTGACAAGAAAAACTTCAAAAATTCGATTAAAACACTTCCCGGTGAGCTTATTTGCAAATCTGGATTTACAAAACAGCTAGCTCAGAGTTTTGGTTAGGCAACTTAAAACAACAACCAAGAAGTGGTCAAATTATCTTGTTGCTAACCCCAAACGATCAAAAAGAGAGTCCCCCTCCCATTATGCCAACCTTGAGGGGTCACACGAGGTCAACCAATCGTCAAAAAATGGCTCAAGAACGAGAGAAAAAGGCTGAACAGACAAAAAGAGACCCCATTAGATAAAAAAAGCACCCCAATGCAGCTGAACAATCGGATTAGAGGAGTTTTTTTTCTGGTTTGCATCAATCTCCAACGAGATATTGACGCTTTATCGAATTTTTACTTGTGGAGCTCTTTTTTAATTGATTTTTTTACGTAAATTTAAATTGATTGGTCTAAAAAAATTGATTTGGAACAAGTCTTGTATAAATTTAACTTGGATAACTTTTCGTTTTCACTAGCTTTGACCCAAAAATCGATTGAAACCCCACAAAATCTATGATTCTGTCAAAAATTCTCCAACTAAATGCATGCCCAAGACCAACATCAAGGTCCAAGATGTCTAGAATGACAAATTTCTCAAGTGTCATCCTTCCAAAACGCCAAAAATCCCCATAGCAACGAAGATTCTCAAAGATTTTTGCGACTCAAGATGCAAATCCAAGCGGATAATTAAAGTTTCTTCCCGGGGATTTCTTGGATACGGATGAGCTTGGATTATATCGAGTAAGCACAGGATTAGAAAAAGGGGAATGCGGGGATTCTGACTAATTTTGAGGCAGAGAATACAGAAATGGGTATGACGGATGAATTGGAAATGAGTCAGTCTAAAGGTTGAGGGATTTTTTGACCAAGGAGTGCTAGTTGAACGTTGAAAAGCAGTCAAACAGTATCTCCATTCAAGATACTGTTTGATAAAACGTTAGGATATCCGTTGCTTAACCTAACGTTTAAACTCACAACGTCGATTTCCATATTGGATACCTGCTTAACGTTAAACAAACAGCTTCAAAATTTTCCTACATTTTCACGGCTCCATTTTAAAGATTTAAGTTATTGTTTGCTAAAACGTTAGCATAGCTTAACGTAACGTTTTAGGCGCACAACTTCGGCTTCCCTATTGGATAACTGCTGTTGTTAAACGTTTAAGCCCACATCTTCAATTCCCCTATTAGATACCTGTTATTGCGGTGGTGAGGAAGCGGCGAGCGCCGGCGAGAGCCCACGAAGTGAATTGGGCAATCGTTCCGATGGAAAGAAGACAGAAGAAGATTCGTTGTTATGGATTAAAGATTAAAGAGAAGAGGTCGATCGACGTGAAGATGATTGGGCTGATCGGAGACCTGGAAATGAAAGAAATTGACGGAATGCATGGCACAATGAGTAAAATAGGAAATAAAAGTTGAAAAAAAGTGTCTCATGTTTGACGATTTTATCTCTCAAATTCAGTGCAAAATGGTCAAAATCATGTCAACCGCTCGCTTTGGCAAACTTTTAGTGTTTTAAACGAAGATATGACCGTTTTAAATGTGGCCTAGTCTTAAAATTATTCAAGCAGCTAATAAATAAAGCTAGTAATAAACCAGTCAGCTAATAAACCGGATCCAAACACCATTTTTAGCGTTTTTAAGTACGCACAAACATGAAACTTATACAAAATTTACTTTCCATCTCATTAAAGTTACGTTTTCATTGGTAATCACAAGGTTTTAACCGCAGTCTCTCACCGACATTCCCTCCGTTAATCATTTTATTATAATATACACATTTCAAATTCACAAACAGTTAAATTAAGTATTAAAGAGACAAAATACACAAAATATGGAAATTCAGCTACCGAAATCGTAAATGGGCGAAATGAGAAATTATTTCTTACAAGCGTACACAAAAATTGGATACTCGATAGGGACAAGTGTACACAAATAACAACCACCAGAGAAATGTTCTTTTTTGCGTTAAATTTACAACAAAACAATGAGAAAAGCTCAAAAAATAAGTACAGATGGGGAATTTGTATTGGAAATTTGCAGAACAAGGGGAAATCTTTAGAAGAAAATAACCGTATTTTATGCTCAATTGTTGATCGCTGGACTTCTCTATTCATTTCTTTTGCTTATCCCCACAACTCCTCGGTGCGACCGAATTTGTAGACGAGAGACGCGGAGAAAATCTAGAATTAAAGTTTTGACCATAATTTTAAAAACAATTGCATTCAACTCACCATCAAATTGTGCAAGAAGAGTGAAACGCCTGGCCATACCTGAAAGGGAAAAAGATTTAAAATTTTCAATGACTTAGGTTTAAGTGGTGCATCACATGATCGTTATGATTCAGCCAATTAAAATATGATTCATTGATACTATTTCAACCTAGTTTGACTCCGTCTGACAATAATAGGAAACATTTTGGTCAAACAATTTTCCATGATTTTTGTAGAAAGTACAACCGAAAATTTTATGGTCAAAGCTTGTCATTTGAGCAAAATTCCTGACTTATTTAAACGATTTGCAAAGTCCGTAAATGATGGATTTTGAAATTTCCGTAAAAGCAACAATTTAATTATATTATAAAGTAGTATATGACCTAGCAAAAGACATCGCAAATATTTGTGCTCCATTTTGAATGCAAAATTTTACTTGACTTGGTAGTATTGCGACAAAAAAACTCTCACCGAATGCGGGCCTGGCTGAAGAACGTAATCCGAGAAGAGTATCCATGTTGCAGCGACGAGTGCCGAGAAGGAGAGCACGAACGCCGACATCAACCACAAACGAGAGCCTGAATGAGTCGGATTATAAGTTTTAAAGTTTCTTAAGACGATGTACTTCGTCCTCTTTCAAACACACCTTTAGTTCCCAACATTCCTTCGTGAAGAGCCTAAATTAAACGGATTAGTAAGTATAAAAAAGTGTTGTGCATATAACTTTAAACCTCTAAACGAATCCCACCTCACCGCGAACTTGGCTATTCGAAACGGCGTTGACCTAAAAAACAATCATCATTTATATCATAACAAGTTTTCTCCAGTTTTTCTCCAGATCAATCTCAATTTTACTGCCAAGGCCTCTGTCGTATCATATACGTCATTTTAAGCCTTTTTGGGCAAAAATTTGTACTTCTGGGAATTCGACAAGCATCAAACTCTCACCATAAACATGGCAATCGAAGAAGCAACGGTGACGATAAAGTAAACGTTGTTCCAGTCGTCTTTCTTGTAGACGGCCGCCGTGTCGATCGCAAGCCACCTAAATTTAAAGATAAAGCTAATCGTAAGTAAACGCGAGTTATTAAGTACCTAATGAATAGTACATAGCAATATCTAAAGGTGGTTTTTTAATCTTGACAAACTATCGTTTCAAGGTCTTTCAAACAGACTGCTCATTTCTGATGTCTTAAAAAGCTTTCAGTCAAGAATTTCTGATTAGAAATATTACTTTAACAAAGATGAATAGATCAAGATTGTTCCTGGATCGAAACTTGAGCAATAGTCAAGTTAAAGATGCGGTTTCTAAAAAAGCCTCACAAATTTTCGGCTTTTTGTTCAGAAATGACGTCTTGAAGTCAAGAAAGGGGGCGGAGCTGGCCTTTTTTTTAGCTTTTGCAACAATTCTAGATTGTTTCAATGAAAAAACTGACCATCCCGAGAAGAAAAGCGTCGCCGCGGCCACCGACGAGACGGCATTCCGTTTCCCCTCGAGGTCAAAGTTGAAATTGCACTGAATCGAATCCAAACAACCGGACATCTAAAATTGACATGTTATAGCCAAATTCAAAGAAATGGTATCTAGAAGCAAAAAAAAAGAGAAAGCGAAGGGGCAAAGGAATCTACGAGAAAGGTAAAGTTTTATCTAAAATGGCGTAATCGGTCAATTTAAACGAAAATTTACAAGAAACTCGACGTTTTGAACAAGAATCGAGAAAAATGCAATGAAACCAAGAATTTCTGTGCATTTGAAAGGAAAAGGTGCAAATTGAGGGGCCAACAAAGCTTTCTCTCTACACCATTTTCTTCTCTCACTCACCCATTCGGTTATTGCCATCTTACCTGATAACTTTAACGCTAGTTTCCGATAAAACAAATCCAAAATCATCACAAATATTTCAAAGTTCATAAACTCGAGCCGAATAAAATTTTAACACACATAAAAATCTTTATTTGAGCAAATCTCTTCATTTTTCGGTACACGAACGAGAAAAAGGCCACTGAAAAAGCTCAAAACGATCGAGAAAAGAAGGGAAATACTCAAGAGAAAACCGGGGAAATTATCGGTAAAAACATGTAATTTTTAAGAACAAAGGTTGGGATCAAATCTTTGCTTGATTTCTGGAAATTGAACTTCCAAAAGAACGAGACTTTGATTTGAAATCAGTGATTTTAAAAAGCAAAAGCTTTATCACAACCGGATCGAACTCTCGATCGATTTCACGGAAAACAAACTCATTAACCACTCGGCTAAAAAGTTAATTAAGTATTTTCTATCAAAAACCTACCAGCTCGTTGAGCAAATCTCAGAAAATGGAACAATCGTCGAGACACAAAAAGCTCACAAAAACAGGAAAACCAACAATAACATAAAAACCTATCACATAACGGCTAAAAAGAAGTTAAAATATTTGCAAAACTAATAAACGAGATAAAAATGAACTCTAATAACAGACTAGTCGATAACTAAAACACAAAAATCGTCTAAATTCGTTGTTTTCATTTGTTACTGCACGAGCTATTCCCGCAACACTTCTTCGGATCGTCCAAAAGCAACAAATCCTCAATCTAAAATGACATTTTTCCCAAAGAACAAACTTTTCTGGCGTTTTAAATATTGTTTTAGCGAATTTCAAGTGAACTTATTTTTTGGCAAAGATACCGTAAAGTAACAATAAGCCGGAAAAAAGGATTCAGTCGATAAGACTGAACATTTTTCAACTTCTTGCATTGAAGCAAAGGTTCCCAACCTTTTAAGCGGATGCTTTTACTCCGGATTACCGTAACTTATAGTACCTTCAAGAAAACACGCAAATCGCAAACACGAAGGGTCATGCTCTGGTCAGTAGTTGGGTGAATGTGGTGAATGCTAACAAATTTCACAGACTCACGTGAAGGATAAAATTTTTACCCTAAGGAAACAATAAATCCATTGCATTCACATTTCCCTACCCATTCTTATTCCCATTTTAACACCGAGAGCAACCTTTGTGCTGTCCATGTGGATTCACATGGTCAACAAGCTAAATCCATGTTTAGAAAAGATTACGTAGACGACTAGGTGGCTAAGATTCACCTCCAAATCCGCGGCCGCCGCTTTTCTCCTTTTCTTGTTCAACTCCTGATCGAGGCCCCGGTTCTGCGATTGCCACAATTCAGCGTATAAAGAGGTCGGCTCGGAGATTAGTTCCTGAAAAAGAACAAATTAACAACGTGGAACGATCCTAACTAAAAAGTCTGATGATATGGCAAAGCTAATGCCTACGTAATCTGAAACTTACCAAATGTGTTCCACGCTCAGCAACGACTCCATCTTTCAAAACGTAAATAATATCCGCGTCAACGATCGTTGCCAAACTAAATTTTTTTATTTCAGTAAACATTGCAAAAAAACCCACCGATGGGCAATAAACAATGTTGTCCTCTTTTTCACCGCCGATCTTAACGCTCCCATGATATTCGATTCGGTCAAAGCATCCAGTGATGACGTGGCTTCATCGTACACAACGAGCGGAGCATTCTAAACAAAGACAATATTATTTGACAGGTAAATCGAGCTACATGACGAATTTTAAGTCATTTTACCTTCAAAATCGCTCTCGCAATCGCCACGCGTTGTTTCTCTCCACCAGAAAGCTTTAGTCCACGTTCACCAACAATCGTATCGTATCTTAAAGATGTCAAATTGAAAGCACACATAAAAGAAACTAACCCGTTCGGCATTCTTGTCACACTTTCATGCAAGTCGGCCATCTTTGCTGCTTCGAGCACCTAAAAAACGGCTTTCAAAAAAAAAATTTTATCAGTTCATAATTCTCGCTGAATCAATTTCTATTCAATTCTCCTAGTTTCATTTCGTACTTCTTCTCGTGTCGCGTCTGGATTTCCGTAAGCCAAATTGTAGTAGATGGTGTCGTGGAAGAGGACGCAATCCTGCGGAACAACCGAGATTTGCTTTCGAAGTGAATCCAAAGTGACCTAAAAAATAATAAGTAAACATTTTTCAATAAAACGATCACATTTCTAACGTCATTGCCCTCGATCGAGATTTCCCCTGAATTGGCATCATACAGTCGATACAAGAGGCGAACGATCGTCGATTTTCTGAAACAAAGAACATTTAGTTGAAAGCTTGATTGGCCTAAAATCACTACATCATCCTTGAGCAAACTTAGAGGTGTTTAATATTCCAAATCACTCACCCCGAACCCGATCCACCAACAATTGCCACCTTTTTGCCTTCGGGAATATCCAAAGTGAGTCCTCGCAGGATCCCTTGTCCCGGCAAGTACTCGAAGAAGATGTTCTTGAATGACATGCTCACCGCTTCCTAAATTTAAATTGATTCATCAAGCCAACATTTTAGAACTCACTCACCTTATTCAGCACTAACGGTTTTGCGTCCGGTTTATCAAAAATCTTCGCCTTCAAGTTCAACAAAGCAAACATTGTGTTCATGTCGACCAATCCCTGACGAATCTCGCGGTAGACCGATCCTAAACACGTCAAGTATAAACAGTATACAATGGAACAAGCTTTGTTTCCTGTATAAGCTACAAACTTACCCAGAAAATTGAGCGGAATCGATAGTTGGAAGAGTAAAGTGTTCGCCAGAACAAGATCACCAACTGTTAGCGTTCCTGAAACACAAAAATTTGTATAAAGCACTAGCAAGCCAACCATTCTGTATTCCGTTTGCCGCCAAAGCCATGATTCCCACTAAACCGGCAGAGAAGATCGCGTTTTGTGAAAAGTTGAGAAAAGCCAATGAGGTTGTCGTCTAAAATTAGATTTTAGCAATGTTTTAAGTGCGAATTTACCTTCAATGAGGCATTCTGGTAAATCTTCAGAAAATGATCGTAACGAGCCGCTTCGAATTTCTCGTTGTTGAAGTACTAAACAAAACGATAGAATTGACACAAATAAACTGTTCAGATTCTCATCAACTAATTATTAGTCACATTATTCTTTACCTTAACAGTCTCGTAATTGATCAGCGAGTCGACGGCTCGATTCCCAGCGTCATTGTCAGCTTGATTCATCTCGTGACGGAACTTCGTTCTCCATCTAAAAAAAAGATAAGATTGATAAGTTCGCTTTTAAGTTGCCCGCCAGCCAAGGAATGTTCCAAGCGCAAAGACCAGAGGTCAGATTTTGTCTGGAACGGGCATTTGCCTGTAACCCTAGCCCGAAGAGTAAAGCTTATCCCGTAAGCTAGCTTGTCTTTTTGGTCTTGAACCAACCCTGACCGGCAAGAAAGCTTTATGGATCTTATTGCCTTGCTTCGTTTTACCTTGTGATTCCCAGTGTCGCCACTCCATACATTCCAACGCATCCCATTGTCGCGTAAGCGAATTCCGAGCCGAGAGTTGCCGAGAAAATCGCGGACACCTGAAAGAAACAGTAACAAGTTTCCATCTTTAAAACCAACCATCCCCAGCTCAACGATCGTCGGAAATACATTGAAAATGAGGGCACTCATCACGAACGACATTCCCCGAGTGCCTCGATCTAAAAATGAGAAAAATGAAAAGCTTTACATGGTGGAAAGTTCTTGTTCAAGATTGTCAAATGCTCAAAAAGCTGACGAATCCTGTCTTAGATTTGTTATTATTTTCCTTTAAATTTCACACAAACACACCTATCGCCTTTGAAAGCGCTCCGGTCTGTCGATTGAGATGAAATGAGAGGTCCAACGAATGCAGATGCAGGAAAATATCGTGCGCGATCTTTCTCGTCGCGTGTTGGGCAACTCGAGCGAATACCTGAACAAGAGATTACTTGATGAATCATTCTCTAGTATGAAATTGAATTAAAATGCACTAGGACTCACTGAGCTTAGCAAAAAGGCTTTAGCATGCCTTTGATTCTTTTGACTCAACTCACCGCATTTCTCAGCTCGTTCATCAATGCCGAGGTGGCGCGAGCAAGTCCATCTGCAAAAGAAAAATTACAAAAGCACTATTTGCAACTTTATCTGGCTATCAATAAACTTACAAGCAATGATCACGCACATTCCAACGGTCAAAACCGCATTTGCCGGGGTGTCGAAATGGAGACGAAGAAATTCGGGTGCTTTCTCATTGTAGATGTTAACGATGTCTTTGTAGAGGAAGGGCACAGCAACGTTTGCTAACTAAAAAGCAGCAGATTGTGAATGTTACAGCTTTAATAATCAAAAAAAATTACATAAATCGATTGTGCTGACACTATTTTATTTAATGGGTTTACGAAATAGCTTCATTTCATTATATATGTATTTATATGAAATGAAGCGGTACCGATTTTAGCGTTCCAAAATGATTTAGGTATTTGAAGATCGAATCGGTACCGGTTAAGTTTGATTTCAACTAGGATGCCTGGTCATTCTTTGCGACTAACGAAGCTGTCCTTTAGTGAAAGTGAAACAGAAACTTTGAAAACAAGAAAGTTTTCAAAGATTCTGTTGTGTGAGCCAATGCCACGTCTGTAGTCATTAAACCGTTGCCTAATTGATCAAATATTCACAACACAACAAACCTTAGCCCCAATCAGCAACGCCATCGCCACGACGACTCGCTTCCTTATCGGATAATTTCCTTTGGGCCACACGAATCGGAGCAATCGCTTGACAACTTCCCATCCCGTGATACTGTATGCACTCTAAACAAATAAAATTAGACTTTTGCAAACAGCAAACAACAAGCGAACAACATTAGACTTAATCATCTTTTCTTACCTGAACCGGAATTTGTGAGCTGGCTCCAGGGTGGCAACGTCTGGAAAACGATTTGTAGACTCCTTTCTAAAAAATGTGATTACACCTTGCAAATGAACTATCTTTGAGCTTTTTATTTACTTTAAAGCTTAAAGCCTACTAGCTTTAAAGATGACTCCTAAAAATGACTACTACTAGCTTACTACTTTTAAAAAATGATAGCCAAAAAGCTACGCTTTTAAAATAGTTTCTTTTAAAAAAAATATAAATAAACTTACATTTTTATGCAGCAACGAGCTCACTTCTTTCCGGATTTGCGCTAGCTGGGAATATGTACGTGTGGAGAGCTGAAAATTTGAAATTTGAACATTTGCAACAAAAAAACACCAGGCTTCTTAGCTTTTTTTACTTAAAGAACTTAAAAGCGCACAAAAATCATACAATAATACAGCGAAAAAGCGGGTTTTTGATTGGCTTTTGAAAAAACAAGTGCTTAACCTATACCTTTTTTAAAAACAACCTTTTAAACGTTCTTATTTATTGCTCTTAGAAATTTTCGTAATCTTCAAAAATACGACCTTAAACAGCGGCTTCACCGACGGTCCAGCTATCGCCGAGCGAATTGCAAACATTCCTCAACGATATCCTCGCCAATTCGTCAAAATCCTGAATTCTATTGGTTGAACAGGCCTCACGATGTAGTATAACCTGAAAATAACGAACGATTAGCTCAAATAGAATAGAAAACACCAGAAACAGCTGAAAAAACAACGCAATGCAATAAGCCAGCGAAAATTTCAAATATATAGTCAAATACATCCCAAGTTAATCACCTTTTTATAGCAATATCTTCATAATTCAAGCTATTCAATTAATTCACTGAATATTTCATTTTTCCAGAAAAGGCTTATAAATTTAGAAATTTTACAAATTGATAGTGATGAACTCTAATAGAATGGTGAAACGGTCCTATTTTTGGCAAAATGCACAGATTTTAGGGGGAAATTGTAGTTCCGAGTAGTGTTTTCGGCCAAAATAGGCATAAGCAAGGGTAAACTCGTCAAAACAAAAGAAAATAAGTTACTGGACTCGAATCAGCACCGTTGAATTGATAAATAAACCAGCTAACCTGTTGTATCATACCTAGTTTGCCAAATTTTTCAATCTTTCTTAACTTTTTGTCATCTGTGCGTTCCAGATTTTCGATTGCTTCTTAAATCTTTTCGTTTTCTTAATTCTACAACGAGTTTTTCTTTAGATAAACGAAATTTTGGTGGAAACGACGTAGAAAGACGAGAAATTTGGCAAAAAACGATGCAACAGGAACACCAGTAAGTGATTTAACAAGTTAAATAGCTAAAATGATTTACTTGCGGCTTTTTTTGCAACTTTTTTTTGTTTAGAAGCCCGTCAACCAGCTCAAGCAACAGCAACGAGGCGTCCGCTTATCGAAAAGTGTTGAGACAAGTGAGAGAATTTTGTTTATAGCTGAAATTTTAAGGTAAAGATCTTTAAATCTATCATATTTCAATATTTCTAGGCTACGGCAGCGATTCTGACGCAAAATGAATGCGGGAAAGCGACGGCACCGGCCCACGAGACGCTCACACAATTGATGGAAACTTGTTAGTGAAGGGGTTTTACGTGTTGAGGCTTTTTAATCTTATGTTGATAGTAAAACATTGAAGTCTAAGTCTAAACATTGAAAAGAAAGCATTAAGAGAATATTTTTAGACATTTTGGCGCTTAGCGAGGGCACAAAGCACGCTTATGAGGCCGCCACTCGAACAAAACCTTTCTACGGTGACGTGGTTGTAAGTTTTTAATGTTAATAAGTATTTCTAACAGTATTTATAATGCTAAATCCAATTTGAATGATTTTCTCCTTTTTTCAGGTATCATTGGCGAATTTGGGTGTCGAAGAGGCGTCTCTCAATCAATTTCTTTGCTCTCAACTCGGCACCGCGGAGCCTTTGGTGATACAAACGCGTTCGTTTTTTGAAAGCATTAAAAACCTATCAAATATCTATGTACCATGCTCTGTAAAAAAGAAAATTTTAGCAAAAATCGAGCCACCTTCACGTTTTCAACAGTCATTGCAAGTGGGGAAAGCTCGTTCCCATCCACCGTACATCGCCGACGGAATGCCGTCATTCCCCGATCCACACACATACATCAGGACAGAGGTATGGTACCTAGGCACTTCAGAGACTAAGCTTGGACCTGATTTATGGTTTTAGGGCCTCGTTATAACATTCTTATTGAACAAGATGAGCAGAGGATCCAAGAGGATCCATGTAGTCTACACATGAAATGGCCTATTTTGGGTTTTAGTTTAGAAATAACTCTGGTGGTTCACCATTACCAAAAGTAGAACCAAAAGCAGATCCTGATCTTCTTAGTAAGCTTACAAAAATTACATGGCTTCTGGCCTGGTCTTGGCATGATCCTAGGGGACTCAATTAGAACATTTATGTTTGACATGGCATAAGTGTCAAGTCAATACTTGCAGTACTAGTAATACCTGTACTTGAGCTCTATACTAGTATTACTAGTACTTGTACTAGTAATACTTGTACTAGTACTTGCCTTCTAATACTTCTAATATTAGTGATACTAGTTTGCAATATTCGATTCTTGCGTAGTTTCCGGATATTTTGGAAAAATCCGGGTACTGAACGGGTCGTCACGCTTTGAAGACCTATAACTTTGTCCAGAGATAATATTTTTGTTAACTTTTTATATCATTGTACAGAGGACATTTCAGGCTTTCAAATGATACCAAATAGAGCTTGATTGAATAATCCAGTCCAAGTAAATCAAAGCCAACTCTGAGGAAATGAGGCCTATCCAACTCGAGTGTCGTGCCGCCTTGTTTGCATGGGAATGAAAAATCCAGTCAAGCTCTATTTAGCATCATTTGAAAGTCTGAAATGTCCTCTGTGCAATGATATAAAAAGTTAACAAAAATATTATCTCTGGACAAAGTTAGGTCTTCAAAGCGTGACGAACCGTTCAAAATTCTTTCAAAATACCCGGGAACTACGCAAAAGAGCCCAATATTCTTCTAACTTTAGATTAGCGGTGATCCGGAGATCAGTTACGACAAGGTGCGAGAATATGCATCCGAAGTGGATCGAGAGTCCAGAAAGTGAGGCTTTTAAGGAGAAAAAAATGAAATTTATAAATCGTTTGATCACTTGATAGTTTTCTGATGGTTTAACTCTTTTTCTTTCAGAAACCTCATCGATTTGATGCAACGCCGTTTCCCGACACTTTGCCTCTTTGAGAAATTTCATGAAAATGTCAAAGAACAAGCACAGCAGTTGGTGGGTTTAAAGTTTAGCTAATAGATCGAAATAGCTGAGTTTTTTTTTATTGTAGAACTACTTTAGCTGGATGATCAGCGAAGAAACGAGGCAACGATGGCAGAGATGAGGCGACAAGCCGCGAAAAAGGCCCGTGTTGAGAAGTGGGGTTTAGTTTTTTAAAAAAATAAGCTAGCTAAGCTAATGTTGGCTTTAAAAGCAACGATTTTTCCTTCCAGAGAACTGAAAGAGGTGAAAAACGCCTACTCGGCCGAGTTGAGCGATGAGATTCTGGAGGATCCGATGGATTTGGGCGAAAGGAATGAAGATATGGTGGGTTTTGTTGAAAATTAAGTGCCATTATGATGAAGATGCACTGGATAAAGCTTGAAAATTCACTTTAATGTATTATTTTCCTTTTTAGCCCCAATCATCACTCCGGTTTGGCTCGATTGAGGAATCGCTGAAGAAATATGAGCGCCGAGAGACCGTCAAGAATCTGGTGGCCAAGAAATTGCCGCCCTATTGCTTTAGTGAGTTTTATTGTTGCTCTTGAACATTGGCCAGGTATTGAACTATTCTAGTCAATGCCAAAGTGTTGATTAGAATAGTCTATGCTTTGGCATTGTCGACTTGATACTGGTTGTCTGGTACCTGGCTGTAACTTTGAATCTAGCTTACATTTGTTTCAATTTTCTTTCAGTTCTCGAACCGCAAACCGAATTCCGACCGTATCTCTCGTGTTTGGCGACCGAAGATGGAAATGATGAGGGAATGAATGGAGAAATGACATCAAGCACATCGACAACATCGATGATGATGAGGAAACAGAAAGACGATGACGGGAATACGGTTGGTGTTAGTTGATAGCGTAGCTATTTTAAATCACAATACCACTAAGTAGGGCTTGTACCAGAGATCTGGCCTTTCTACAGACAGCCCAGGTTCTTGGGCTCCTCAGAAGCCAGATCTAGGCCTGATTCCTGGCCCGGCTTAGGGTCTATTCATCCAGTACTAGACCTGTAGTAGCATTTAAAGCCAGTATCGAAGCTAGCTTTGCTATTCTGGGTCAGTCAGCTGACTTTAAAATTAAAATATTTTAAAAAATCGAAATGTAAAACTTAGGAGTCCCCCAATAATCTTTTTTCCCATTTGAGATTGTCGACAATTCCTATCTTCGCCCACCTCGAATCCCTTCACGAGATGACAGTCAAATAGAGGAATAAAATTATTTATTACGTCAGCCTATTTTCACGGGTATTTTAAAATTTTAATCTATTGTCGTTTTTGCAGGTAATGTGGATAAATGAAATTTTTTGGAACAAATTTTTTATTTAGCATTAACAACAAAGCATTCATTGAAAGAACAGCAGAATAGAAGAACAATTCAAAATTGAAGCTTTGTTTGTAGGCTGCCAGCAGAGTTGAATGCTGAAAGGATTGGAAAGACAAGTTGTTGACAAGATTTGTCCGTCCATCTCTATCTTCTAAATCTTCCAGGCTGACTCTCCCATGGGACACAGTCATTTAGAAGAGAAAAGATTTCTTGGTAAAGGAATGGATAGAGTTGATGACAAAAGTGATGGTTTAGTTTTGATTTCGTTTTAGAGAGAGAATAATTATTTTATTGATTAAAAGGGGACCTTTCTACCATAATCCTTTGAAAAGTAGGCTAAGTTTAGGGTTAACTAGAAGATGGAATAGTTTGATAGGATTCTGGAGTGGAAAATCGATTTTGGTCCGCAAAAATTGAGCAATTCTTATGGAAAATTCAATTGAATATGTTGAACTTGTAGAAATTCGAGTAATCTAGCTTCTGTCTGAAATTTCTTGAATCAGCTGTTCTGTTCTGTCTAAAAGTTGGGCACACTGGGGCCCAAACTAAAAGCTTTGCTTTAAGGGGAAGAGATTTGGGAAACGGGAAGGAGATGGGAATGGAATGAGTGAGTGCCAAGGGAAGGCTGGGGGCTGACTATGAGGGGGGTTAGACCCCTTGAGGAGTCCCAATCCCCCTCTTCTGTCTCATCTCCTCTCCTCCTCCTCTCTGCTAACTGCTCCCCATAGAAATGAGCTCTCTATGGGATGTTAGTTGTTCATTTTTTTTCGTTTTCTTGAAACCTTTTGATTGAAGTGTTCTTCTATACATTATTCAACTTGCTAGTCTTTTTGCTTCTTGAAACTTGAAACCAAACTCTTCGGCTTAGCCATTCGCTGAGAACCTGGACCTGCTTAAAGAAAACTTTACAGTTTTTGTCTATTTTGGAATGCACGCCAGCTAAATATTGAGATTCTTTGATTGTAAGGAAGATTGGGGTTTTAGTAGGATTAGATTAGTTGATCTCGACGAAATCTCTCCAATTTCCAAAGAATAACTAGCTTTTTACGTTTTTTTTGATTAAACTGGATGTCAATTTAGACTTTTCCAGGGACAAACCTTTGATTTAGAAGTTTTTCGGGATTGTTGTGCTTTTTGGACGTGGTTGTGGTCTAGCAGTTGCGTTTCTCCTTCTCCCCTCACCCCAAACTCCGTTTGTCGATCATCCTCCTTTCTTCCTTTTCCCCATCTTCTGCCCTTCTTTCATAGATTTCGTATCGCTTTCCTTTTCCTGGCTTTCCCTTCGCTTTCCCTCCGCTTTTCTTCTCGTTTTCTCCTCGTTTTCTCCTCGTTTTCTTCGACCTTCATTCTCATATTTCATAGCTGGCCAGTTTTGGTCCAGAAGAACGCCGATTTTGCAGTAAAACTTTTTATTTCCAACTTTCCTGGAATGCATACAGAATTTGGGTTTTTGTTTTTTCGATCTTTATGCTAAATTCTTGCTTTCAGATTTTTCCCGAATCAAAATGGTCGACTAAAAGTCATCAATGGATCGACAAATCTCCGAATTTTTCACCAAATCTTTGCTCAATATTTTTTTGCTTCTATTTATTCTCTTTTCACGAGGATCTCAGGGATTGGAGACGCTTTTTCGTAAGTTTTTTTTGTTGAAGATATTTGAAGATATTGAAGACATTTTGAACAAGAATAGAAGAATATTTTGTTCTTTTTGAGCTTCCTGGAGAGCATTGAGCAAAACTGTTAGGTTAGAATTGGAGCTTTTTTTAAAATGGTGAGCTGTGAGCTTCTTTTTGGAAGGCACTAAGCAAATCGGTCATCCTAAATGATTCACTTCTCAAAGGGAATGTCGTTAGACGTTCCGCTTTTTGTATCATTTCAATTTCGTCCCAATTTTATCCCAATTTTATCCCGATTTCGTCTCTTTTTCCCTTGTTTTACGGAACAAACTTGCTCAGACATGTCAAAAATTCAGCAAGTTTCCCATTTGACTTTTTGAACAATGTTAACCTTTCTTACAGCATATTTAAGTAAAAATTATTAGAAAACTATTAAAAAACTTTTCTTTTTAACGATCTTTTTCCTTTTATATCGAAATTTTGAAAAGAAAATCTAGAAAAAAGGCGAAAAAAAAAGGGTTAGCTGAGGGTCATTATGCTAATCCCCTTTCCCCTTCGCATTTCTGGAAGTCACGCAAGCGGAAAAGCACGACTAAAGCAAGATGGACACCATTTTTCTTCAAAATTCTTCAAAAGCCCTCACTAAAACCCCCCGTTTCGTGTTCTTCTTTACTGTTTCATTTGATTCAAATCTTTGTTTCCTTGCCTTTTTTTTGTTCCTTTAACAAATTTTGGTATCTCTAATTTATGCTAAATCTTCAAGAGTATTCAAGTGCTGCTCAAGAAGTTGAGTGTTGAGTGTTTGAAATTTATCCTAACCACAAAGAAAGACGGCGCCAGTTGGATTCAAAGCTGTTTCCTAAAGCTTTAGTCTAGTTTTTTTTATTTAAAGCCAGTTAATTCAAATTAAATTCATCCAAATCTAAAGCCAAATCCAAAGCTAAAGCCAAAGCCAAAGCCAAAGCCACAGCCACAGCCAAATCCAAATCCAAATCCAAATCTAAAGCCAAAGCCAAAGCCAAAGCCAAATCCAAATCCAAAGCCAAATCCAAATCTAAAGCCAAATCCAAATCTAAAGCCACAGCCAAAGCCAAAGCCAAAGCCACAGCAAAGCCAAAGCCACAGCCAAAGCCAAAGCCACAGCCAAAGCCAAAGCCACAGCCAAAGCCAAAAGCCAAAGCCAAGCCAAAGCCAAAGCCACAGCCAAAGCCAAAGCCACAGCCAAAGCCAAAGCCACGCCACAGCCAATCCAAATCCAAATCCAAATCCAAATCTAACCAAATCTAAAGCCAAAGCCAAATCCAAATCCAAATCCAAAGCCAAATCCAAATCCAAATCCAAATCCAAAGCCAAAGGTTAGATTAACCTCCTGGCTTAGGCTCAGGCTTAATAAACAGAAAAGAACACGAAACGGGGGTTTGAGTGAGGGCTTTGAAGAAAAATGGTGTCTATCTGGCATTTAAAAACGTCCATAGTTTTCCCATGGACTTTTCCTCGGAAAGTTCCTCAGAAAGTTCCTCAGAAAGTTTCTCAGAAGGTTCCTCGGAAAGTTTTAGCGAAAACTTCCTAGAAGAAAATCAAGATCCGCGGGAGAACTATGGACGTTTTATCGGAAAGATCAAAGTTGCCGCCGTAAAGATCAGAGACGCCGCTGAAACTTTTAGCGTAGCATACGAGCGTAGCATACGAGCGTAGCATACGAGCGTAGCATACGAGCGTAGCATACGAGCGTAGCATACGAGCGTAGCATACGAGCGTAGCATACGAGCGTAGCATACGAGCGTAGCATACGAGCGTAGCATACGAGCGTAGCATACGAGCGTAGCATACGTAGCATACGAGCTCTTGTCTATCCCAGGGCAAAGCTTTACCAGCGTAATTTGCTGATCACGGCATGGATGACCCTATCTAGTCCAACGATCGACCCTATCTAGTCCTAGACAGGACCGTGGTCTGTACAAAGTGACCAAAACGAAGGGAGGTGAAAGAGGCCAAAAAGGAAAATCCCCCCCAATTTTCCCCCCCCTATGGGGGGGCCAAAAAAAAAAGAAAAAAAAAAAAATAAAAATAAAAAAAAAAAAAAAAAAAAATTAAATTAAATAGGGGGGAAAAAAAAAAAGGATAAAAAAATTTTTTTAAATTTAATATAAAATTTTTTTTTTTTTTTTTTTTTTTTTTTTTTTTTTTTTTTTTTTTTTTTTAGGGGGGGGGGGGAAAAAGAAAAAAAAAAAAAAAAAAATAATTAAAAATTTTTATTTTTTTTTTTTTTAAATTTATTAAAATTAAATATTTTTTTTTTTTTTTTTTTTAAATTTTTTTTTTATTTTTTTTAAAAAAATTTTTTTTGGGGGGTGGGGGAGGGGGGGGGAAAAAGAAAAAAAAAAGGAAAAAAAAAAAAAAATTAAAATTTTTTTTTTAATTAAATTTTTTTTTTTAAAATAAAAAAAAAAAATATTAAATTTAAATAAAAAAAAAAAAAAAAAAAAAAAAAAAAAAAAAAAAAAAAAAAAAAAAAAAAAAAAAAAAAAAAAAATAAAAAAAGGGTTTAAATGTAGAGTAAAAAAAAATTTTTGTGGTTTTTGATGGGGGGGTTTAAAAAAATGTGGGAAAAAAAGTGAGGGGAAAGGATGGAGGGGGAAGTTTTGGGGTTTAATTTTTTGTTTTTTTTTTTTCCAAATAAGCATCATTGAGTTCATTCGAGGCTTTTAGAAGACTTTTCTTCAAATTTACAACAGTTTTATGCGCTTTTGAGACAGGCTTTTGCCTCAAGGATCGACCAAACACAATAAGCTATCAGATTGAGATCTGGATAGTCGTTTAGAAAGAGATGAAATTGGAAAGTTTGACTTTGCAAAAATTTTGGACTTTTTTTGGCTTTATAGACCGGAATTTCGTCTTGTTGGAATGTTTAAATTTGATTCTTGAAATCCTTTTTTTTATCTAGTGCAAGAAGTTTTAGCTTTAAGGAGATCAAGATAGTTAATAATAATAGATAATAAGCCATTGCATAATTATCGGCCCTGTAGATTGAAGCTAAAGCAGTTTACTGGTTAATAGACTGGGTTCTTTATGGTTTAAAAGATAATAGACTGGGTTCTTTATGGTTAAAAGATAATAGACTGTATTCCTTATGGTTAAAAAGGTTAATAGACTGTGTTTCTTATGGTTAAAAAGTTAATAGACTGTGTTCCTTATGGTTAAAAGATAATAGACTGTGTTTCTTATGGTTAAAAGGTTAATAGACTGTGTTTCTTATGGTTAAAAAGATAAT